TTTAAAATTTCCTTGTAGTTGCCTTGATGGACATTGTCATTGTCACCACAGCATGCACTCTGCTCCTCGTGTTGTGTAGGACATGCAGTCTGAGCAGTGGACCCGCATGCTCGTGGGGATCCCTGATGAGGCTCTGTGCCCGTCACGGGAGTCTCCTCTCCCTGAGCAGCGAGTGGGATGAAGAGCTTGGCTCAAGTAAGACGTCCTGTGTGTGAGAGGGTTGGTTAAGGGCACAGAACTCAAGCCAGAGGAAGTTCTGTGGAGACCTCCCGGGAAATCTGCCTTATTTTTAATAAAGGGCTATTCCTTTATATGTCATTACACACAGATGGAAGGGCTGGATTTGCTGCAACTTTGTTGCCACCAGCCTGAGACTAAAGCTGACACAAGGAGGAGGGTGGAGGACGGAGCTGAGAAAAAGGGAAAGAGGGAATGGGACTCTGAATCTGCTGACCTTGCCACAGGACCTTGTGATTTCAGCCATTTTTGTTTTATTTTTAAAGAAAGAGCATGTAATGTGAGTACATGGATGATACATGTGAATAACAGTGCTAAACTAAATTTATATTGTACCTAGATATGATACTTGGTAGCTCTAGTATATTTTTATTAATTAATTTTTTACTTTATTGGGGAACAGTGTGCTTTTCCCAGGACCCATCAGCTGACCCATCAGCTCCAAGTCAAGTTGTTGACCTTCAATCTTGGTTGTGGAGGGCGCAGCTCTGCTCCAAGTCCTGTCGCTGTTTTCAATCTAGTTGCAGGGGGCGCAGCCCACCATCCCATGTGGGAGTCGAACCGGCAACCTTGTTAAGAGCACACGCTGAGAACCAACTGAGCCATTCAGCCACCCCATTGGCAGCTCAGCTCAAGGTGCCGTGTTCAGTGTTAGTTGCGGAGGGTGCAGCTCACTGGCCCATGTGGGAATCAAACCCACAGCCCTGTTGCTCAGAGCTCGCCTTCTAACCAACTGAGCCACCCGGCCGCTCCCTGTAGTATATTTTTGAAAAACTTAAAATATATCTTCTAATAGTTTTGGGAGGAAGATAGGAAGTGGGTAGGGAACAGTTTTAGAATTGTAAAGTAGCAGAAAGCTACTGAGGACAATATTAAGTTCTGATGTAAATCAGATATGAAATTAAATGTCTATTCATAATTGTAATTACACCATTTTTACTAGTATACAATACATAAGTTTTTTTGTAAAGTTGTAAGAGTAGGAGGAAACTAAATGAATTAACATCTGTTTAAAAAATTGTCAGGAAAATGATCAAATATACACAGGGAAGAGAAACCACTGACACCCACCCCCACTGGAGAATTTAAAGCACGTTCTAGACATCACATTTTACCCCAAAATATTTCAGTATGTATATCTAAGGTTTAAACAGTCTTTTTCTTTTTTGTTTTAAATTACAGTTGACATTCAACATTATATTAGTTTCAGGTGTACAGCATAGTGGTTAGACATTGACATGCAATAAAGGGCACATATTTAAAGTGTACAATTTGATAAGTTTGGATGTGTCCATGAAGCCACTACCACAATCAAGATAGTGAATATATCCATGTACCCCCACAAGTTCTTGTGTACCTTTGTAATCCCTCTCTTGCTCACACCTTATCTACTTCCCCAAGCAACCACTGATCTGCTTTCTGTGACCATGTGTTAGTTTGCATTTTCTATAACTTTATATAAATGGAATTATATTTAGTATGTATCTATTTTGTGCCATTTCTTCTCAGCATAATTATTTTGAGATTCCTCCATGTGTAGTATATCCATTGTTCATTTATTTTTATTGCTGAGCCGGAACCTTTTTTAAGATAACTGCAGTATTATTACCACTCCCCAAAGTATATTTTAAAAGTTCTTTATTATCATGTAATCTTCAGTTTTTAAATTTCCCCATTGTCCCGTAAGTGTGCTTTTATAGTTGGTCTGTTGGTATCAAGACGCAGATGTGTTCGCACAGTGGCGCTTAACTTGACTACCTCTCCTGCTTGTATCTACTCCAGATTATGAGTTCATTATCTTTAATAATGATTTTACTGTGATGGCAAGCAATTATGTGGAAATGTCACGTTTTCCTTAACCTCTTCACCCTAACAGAACTACTCATTTTGAACCTCTAGTTCCTGACCTTATGCAGAATATGTTAGTATTTTAAGGATGGCAAGAATTATTCAGACGGTTGAGTCTTAATAGAGCTCCCTGTGAAAACTACAGTGTTTCCAGCACCATCGGCGACTCTGCCCCTGACAACAGCGCACGTCAGAGCCCAGAGCGCCACTTCCTGTTTTTCTTTGCAGAGGTGCCTCTGGAATTCCCCTTGATTGCCCAAGATTTGAATCTTGTCTCTCTTGTATTCTTAATACAGCACAGCACACCAAAAAAGTAGCGTTCTGCAGATGTCTGCATGTGCCTGAGAAGTAGCACATTTTTATATTTTAAGAGATTTAATTATACTGAGAATCCAGGCTTGTGATTCATTAAGCATGTTATCGTTGAAGCCTAGAGAACACCTCGGCCAGTGTCTGCATCCCTCCTTCCTGCTTCTCTGTAACCTCATGTTGATAATCCTCCATTTTTCTTTACTTCAGTGTTTCTCTTACTGGCTCTTTCTCATCAGAAATTAAGCATAATCAAGTCTTTCTAATCCTCACAGGAATATTCAGTCTGTCCTCATTTCCCCCTCTCCCCGCCCGGGTCAGAGGCCCTGTCTCCCCACTGGGACACCCCTGAGCCCCTCCAGCGCCGTCGCTCCCAGTGCTGCACGGACACCACCCCTGGAGGGTGGTCGCTTCACTCGGCTGCGTCCAGCGGACACGTCTCGGTCCCCCTGACTCTTGCCAGTTTCAGCTGTGTTGCCTACTCTCCCTCCTTGAGCTTTCAAGAAGACATCCCTGAGTTTCTTCCTAACTTCAGGATGTTTATTTTTGGCCTCTGTTGTTTATTTTCTTCCACCCAACGTTAGATAGGTTCGTCTGTGCACTTTTCCCCTGAGGAAGTCGCATTAACTCGTACAGCTTGACTATAGTGGTGACTGTTTCTTCAGTTTAGCCTTTCAGAATCCTGTTACCGTATATCCAGCTTGCCCTCTTGAGAACTTCACCTGGCTGCCTCACGGACACCTCAGATTCAGTGTCTTAGGCTGCATCTTTCCTCTTCCTCCTGAGCCTGCCCCTCCTCGAGGATTCGCTACCTCAGGGCCCGTGCTTTTCAGATCTGAAATCTGTGCATCTCTCTTAAGTTCCCCCTCTCCCTCAGTTCCCAAATCCAGCCAACAAGCAGATGCTGTGGGTTTTATCCACCGAACGCCTCTTGAATCTTCCACTTCCTTTCATCTCTGCTGCTGTTGGTTGCATCTAAGTAATGTCCTCACCAGCATCATCAGAACAACTTCCTTTGCACCCCCCTCCAGCCCGTTTTCCACTGGTAGCTGTCATGGAGTGTGGCCTTTCAAGACCAGTTGGATCGTCCCTTCTACCTGTAAGAGCTGTGCTCCTTCTACCCTAAGGGAAGGAGGGGCCGAAAGCCCCCACTTTTATATCATAAAGTCAAGGTGACATTAGAGGGTATGAAGAAACCTTCTAATACTAAAGGGAAAATTTGACTCTCACCTCAGGAAAGTTCAAGTTTAAAAATATTCACTATTTTCAGATTTATAAATTACCGAGCATAATCATTATGATGTAAGTTGAAGTTTTCCTGTCCCTTGCTTTTCAGTGTGAGAGTAGTCTTTTAAGTCAATTATCTGCATTGGAACATCCTCCCTCCGTCTTGAGAATGTGTGTAATATTATTTATGAATGTATAGAGTACCCCTTTCACAAGCATATTGATTCACAGTCCTATCCGTTCTTTTAAGAAACATTTTGGGGTGAGATGGGTTGTGGCCCAAGAGCACCATGGTGACTTTTCTCTCCCAGCATCTTCCTGCAGTAACTCAGCGATTAGAATAGTCACTCAGGTGGAGAGGCAGGCCTGGCGCCTTCTGCTAAGCCCCAAACACTCCCTGCGGAGGAAACGATGCAGATTCGGAAGTTTAGAAGTCACTTCTGTGTGTTCCCAGGGTAAAAGATGGTCCGGACCCCCAGTGGCGTGAAAGCAGGTCTTATTCTTTGAAATGGGCCCTGCCTGGCCTGCTTGAGGGGCTCTCGCAGGGCCAGGTGGCCCCCTCTGCACATCAGGCTTCGGGCCACGCCTGCTGTCCTGCAGACACCATGTGGGATTCCAGTCTGCAGCGACAGAAGCTAGATGACAGTCAAGTAATGTCTACCGGCTTCTAACATTTGCGCATGAACTTTCTGCTTTTGTGGCTGTAGAAAATCATGTTCTGATCCTAAGGAGCTGTCACCTGAGTCTGTCTTGTTAAGGTTTGAGGATTTATCAGGATCAAGCGCACATTTCAGAGATACAAACAAAATATTACGTTCAAAGGCAACCTAATCCAACAAGTTCATACATAACTTGTCTTAGTTTCGAGGCAGACTGCAGTTTCAGGAGTATACTGTTGAGAGGGAAGTAAACGGGAAGAGCTGAGCTGCTGTTAGATCGCTCTGCCAGCGGCCCCTCCTCCCAGTTAGGTCATGGGATCTAGTCATGGAAAACTTGTGACTGTTTTAACATCACTGAGAACTGGTGTTACAAATCAGAGCGTTCTACTCAAAGCACAATGTATTCTTTGCTAACAGTAATGATTACTGATGATAATTTCACGTGTGTCTCATTTTAAAAAAAGAATAAAACGGTTATTTTACTAATATGTCGATGGCCAAAGCTAGACCAATAATCTGTTTTAAATTCTGAATGATAACCTTTACCAGTCATTTTGGTGTGTATGTATATTTTCTTGGAGGTTTTGTCATAAGATGCTAGGTATTTTTGTGTCCTGAGCAAATTTATTATATTAAACAAAGTCATTCATCCATAGTATATACATCAGAATAACTTGCCTGCTAACAAGATCATTTTTTCAACATGTGCTCATATTTTAGAAAAGGCGCCGGCGGATCGACCGAAGCATGATTGGCGAGCCCACAAACTTCGTGCACACGGCCCACGTGGGATCAGGAGACCTGTTCAGTGGGATGAATTCAGTAAGTGTGTCGGTGGGACATGGACACGAGGCCTGTGTGTGATGAGGACACACGTTTTTAGTGATGACACTGTGCTAAGTGAATTTGTCGACATTGAATATAAATATGTAATGTGAGCTAGAAGAGACAAAATGAACAATGAAAAATTAATCTCTCGTCTAATTTGCCAAGTTATGCATTTGTTTCTATTTCTGGTACTGAACAGCTACCCTTCTCCTGAATAAATACTTTAAAGGATTTGCCAGTAGGATATGAAGGACCAGAAATAAGAAAAACGAACTGTCTGCTGTCTTTTGTAGAGGTTTCAGTGAATTTCAGAATAGACTTGATTTATTCAGCTGAACTCTTTTATTCCTCAATTTTCATCTAAGAGAAAAACGGAGTCCAGCATAATAGAAGCCCCACCAAATGAAGGTTTTTATTAGGGCTCTGCCCTATAGCTAAAGTAAACAGATGTGTCTAAATGAGCCCAAAGTGTTTAGAACCAGAAAGTCAATAAGGCTTTTTATAAACACAAAATTATGATCCATTGTATACTTGCTGGACAGCGTTAACAAAAGACTTAACAAGAGAACAGACTTTTAACATAGGTTGGTGGGTATCCTGGATACAGCAAACTTCAGTTACTAGGTAAGCAAAGGAACGACATTTGTACCTTCTGTAAAAGGAAACAGCTTGTTTGTTTTATATCTGTAGGAAAAATCCTTTGTTTCATTCAGCTGCTTTTTGTGGAACTGTAAGAGGTTGTCAGGTGCTGTCAGAATACAATACAGTAGCTTTGTTGAAAAGACTGAATGGGACCCTATGCCTTTTGTTACTATGGTTAATATAGAATGAATGGTTTCAAATTTATTATGTATGCTGAATTTTAATCTTTCTCATCAACAAATGTCTTCAGGTTTTAGGAATACCTATATAGAACACATGAACATTTTAGATCATGGTATTTATACACAACTCAGAATTTCCTTCCGGATTCCCACTGGCATTTTGTCTGTCTCTATGAAAAGCCTGGCATTTGTGTGTGGCTCTTCCATCGGCGCAGGTGGAGCTGAGGACTGGCCCCTGCTTGCAGGGCTTGTGTGTCTGCCTTTCCTGCTGAGATGCAGGAGCCACATGGGCCCGCGGTGGAGGTCTCGCCCTGCAGCGTCCCCACAGCTTTCTCTGCTTAGTGACGTGTTTTTATGAAGTAGTTTAGTTGTTTAGGACCAAATAAGGCTCTTCATAGTCATGCCTGTGTTAGTTTGTCGTCACGAAGGCACTTGCAGCCCCTTCCCCCCAGGGCTCCAAGTGATTAGACTGAGGATTGTGGAATCTGGTTTCCCAAGCGTTTCAAGTGATAGCTGTCACTTGTGAAGCCTGACTCGCTGAGAATTGTTCTCCTGTGCAGTGCACAGAGGACAGAAGCACAAGGAAGACACGCGGTTTATCCAGAAAAATATTTTCTTTTAAGTTTGTCCAGCCTAATGACTGAGCCGCTGGGATGAGGACGTGACTTGATGCACGTGAAACAGCCAGGCGATGCCGGGCCACTGGATGGTCTGATGACTCGTAGTTTCTTTTTTACCCCAAACACATGGCTCTCCCTGACTACCTTTCACTAGTTTCTCACTAGAAAAGGTTTCTGTGGCCCTTTTTATAATAGAGCCCTACTGTGTTAAAATATTGTATGTCCATAGTTACCATAATACATTCAAGCTCAACACTGAAGAGTTACCATTAGAAAATCCAAGTCTTTTAGTTTCAAATTGAAGAACTGTGGAGGAAAAAGAATCTGCATGGCCTCAAAGGCGGCATTTTCAAATAGGCCAGAAATATCTCTAAGCACTACCATGTCACGTTAGGTGGGGAATTGCTTGGTACCAGGGTGAAATCAACTTTGTGGTACAAAACATGATGGAATTTGCCAGAAAGGAGCCACACATGAATTAGGGCTGTCTCCTCACACTCTTCTAAGGAAGTCACCTGACTAATGAGAATGCAGATTACAGCAACACATTATGTGAAATCAGGACTTCGAGGTTCCACGTTAGTAAGTTTTTCAGTAAATGGGTAAAGTGTACCCATTTTAAGAGCCAATCATATTTTCTCACTTAAACCCTTCGGAATCTATTCTCTTCTATTAGAATGTATTTAAACCTGCCTCACTCCAACAATAACTTAGGCGAGTTTTACTGCTCCCTTTAAACATACTGACTCAGGATCATTAAAGCACCTCGCATGTCATGTTTCCTGTTATATTTTATGTGCAGTAAATAATTGGATGGATGGTGCGGCCTCCCCCCACCCCCATCATAAAGGGCCCTCTGAGCTGATTCCATGTATTAGACCCAACTGCTGTGCTCTTTACTGTTAGGTCAGCCCCCAAAAGCCGCCTCATGGCTCCTTTTTCTAGCAACCTAGCCTGCTTTTCTTATTCTTTGCTTCCAGTTGACACAAATAAGATTGGAATAATGATGACACAGAGAGCATGTCACTGTTTGCAAACAACTTTATGTGCCTTTGTTTCAGCAAAGAAAGAAAATACCCCAGTAATGTAGTTGGGAGAGATTATCCTTTTAACCATTTTACAGATAAGCAGCTGGATATTCAGAGGATAGTTTACCCAGAGTTACAACACTCATAAATAAATCTGGACTACAGTCCAAGTCCTTGGAGTCTCAGACTCGTTCAGACTTGTAGTTATCAGACTGTATCAAGTATGTAAATTTTACCACATGGCTTTCAAAAATGTATTTTTTGCTGCTCCACTTCCATCTCCTCTCAAGAAGATACTTGAGGTTGAGGAACTGAAAGTTGAGTATGATTTGTATACTTTTACTGCTTTTGATAATGTTACCAAGTACCTTGTGAATTACAAAAATGATATTTTTTGTATTTGGGGAGGAGGGAGTTGTGGCCAACAAAAGCTGTAATTACCTCACCACTCGTCCTGTTTCTGTCTTGTTTTAGGTTAGCTCCATTCAGAACCAGATGCAGTCCAAGGGGGGCTATGGGGGCGGGATGCCAGCCAGCGTGCAGCTCGTGGACACGAAGGCAGGATAGCCCCACTCCCGTGAGTACCTGGGACCGGGCCGCACGTCAGGGCCAGACAGCTGGTGGCAGAGACGGCCTTCAGTCTGGGGTTAAGAGCTAGATACAGGTGACCCTTGAACAACACGAGTTTGACTTGTGCGGGTCCACTTACATGTGGATTTTTTTTCCTTATGACTTCAATATAGCCTTTTCTCTAGCTTACTTTATTGTAAGAATACAGTGTATAGTAATACATATAACATACAAAATATGTGTTAATTGACTGTTGTCAGGGCAACAGTAGGCTATTAGCTTTCAGGGGAGTCAAAAGTTACACCTACCTAGGTTTTCGACTGCGCAGGGGGTCAGTGGCCCTAACCCTCATGTTGTTTAGGGGTCAGCTGTGTTTTGGTGTTTTTTAAAAATTGTGAACAAAAGGCAAAAATACTTGGCTGAATGTTTCAAGTAATAATCACAGCATTACTGCAGCTTGAATATTAGTTTTAGGTTACTCTTTTCTTATGAAGACTTGAAAGGCTTTAAGACATCTGGTTGGGGAAGGGGCTTTGCCCGAGAGTCTGGTGACAAGATGCCATTTGGGTGGTCTTCAAACAGTGAAATTATTTGACTGTTGGTACTGTGCAGAATCCCATGTTTAGTGATTTTACATTTAGTGCCATGTTACTGATAAATTTAATTATCAACTTTTAAGAAGGATGAACCCCTAAAGTGTAAAACTAATTTGGTTTTTCTTTTGGTTTTGTAGGTCATTGTGAATTTCTGTGTTTTCTCTTTCCACTAGTCTTTAATTTTTTTGTTGTGACTGCTTTTCTTTTCTTTTCAATTACAACAAAGAAGTGTGATGGCATCGCGTTCATCCTGTTGTGATTACTCCAACGAGACATCACTGTTCTGCCCCGAAGCAGCTGCTGTCAGGTGACTCCTGCGTTTCCTCCAGCTGACATACATGGCTGTGGACTCACGACAGTGCTGTAGATGTGTGGCCAAAATCCCAATTTTTATCAATATGGATCTGGTCTTAGCATGATCTTTTTTGTGAATGCTAGCACTATTTTGCATTTTCTTTCCCATTTTAAACATCTCTTCACCTCCAACCTTCTGCCTTATGATTTTATTGGTATGCAAGGACCTGCTATCATTTGTTAATTCGTCGCCATTTATGTATATTTTGAAAGGTATGAGACCCATAAGCACAATGATCATTTTTATTCATTTGAAACTTCAGCAGAATAGATATCTGCATGCTTTAAGGAGTTGCTTCGTATGGGAGCCCACGGGCTGATGATACTGCTGCTATTAGAGAAAGGTTAGCTGTGGCACCCAGTCACACCAGTTTCACAAAAAAGGTAACCTGTAGCTTATTTTAGAAGTATGACTTTTTGGTCTATTTAGTTAGAATTACAATAAAAGTTTGCATTCATTCTGTTGTAAATGTTCACTATATTTATTTTGAGAGTAAGGACCTGTGATTGTAAGCAGGTGTGGTTGTACCTGAGTGTTGTGGTAACACCCTCCTCCAGCCTGGCTCTGGGCATCTTAGGAGCTGTTCCCGTCTTTTGTAGCCCTCCTGTTATTGCTTGTATGTTTCCAGGAGCAGTGGGTTGAACTTCTGGCCGTTCCGCCTACCTGCAGATGCGCTGGCCTTTCCATACTCCGCATATTTTGGGCAGTGGAATTTGCCCAGAGCAACATACACACCTGGATGCATCGTTGCCCGTGAAAACCACCTGTATGGGGACTTTTCTTAGGTTCCAAACTATGTTTATTCTCACAAATTGTGTGTATTTCAGATATTTCTGTTAATGCTTGTCCTTCCCCATAAGGGTGTAGCATTAAGCCAGTAAGGATTTACATTTTAACAAGAATGCAAACCACTGTCTGTCCCATCTAGCCCTGTCTAACCACTTTGGTAGAATTAACATTTTCTGCAGCAAATGGGGCTTAACTGAAAACTTAGCTGTGAGGAATTAGGTATTTGAAAGGGATCGTTTTCCTTTTTTATCCCTTTCCTCTCACCTTAGTCCCAGGTTCTTATGAAACAGGTAGCTGAATAAATACTGGGTGTGTGTGTGTGTGTAGGCAAAACATGAAAGCATTTCTCCCCCAGGTCTTTTGACTTAACCTGGGACGGCAGGACATGAGATTGATTACTCAGTCTTTCTGCAACTTTGAGCCTTCACAGGCATCAGTCTCTTACAGAATCTTGTCAAGGAAAACATACGCTTAGTAATCACAATAGGCTTCCTGCAGTTCATGTAATAATAACTTCTATTCATCTGTGTCATGCGTTCCCTGTGTAGCTGTTCTGCCAGGGACACTGCTGTGCAGCAGCTCTGGAAAAGACAGACTCCATTTCCTGGCATTGTCAGCACTGGTGCCATTTAACCTACTTCTATTTTGACTTTTAAAATTCCTACAGTTTTTATAGTTGTCATCTAACTCCTGGAACAACAAGACAGGGAAGCCATGGTCCCTTTTCCCCAGCAAATAATTTGATTTTACTTATTTTCCAATCGCTATCTTTTCTGCTTCTCCAAGGACCAACTACTCCCGTGAGCGTGTCCCCATGGTAAGCCCAGGGCCGTCACTATCTTCAGGGCACAATGGCCACACTGTACAAGGACATGCCAACGAAGGTGCCAATACATTCACGAGTACCAGACATCCTAAGATAGCAACCTTGGGCACAGCTTTTCTAGGACAGCTTGAAGATAGCTGAGTGTGGAGGAGGCAGCTTTCCCACATTCCTAAGTGGGATTACGAATCTCAGGAGGTAGGTTGGTCCCCATAGCAATGTATCTCATTTTAAAATTGAAGCTAATTAAATAAGATTGACTGTTAATAACTTTGCTGAAATACATGCTAATAACTGTTAAGCGAGGGAAACTGAGAGAAGGTTTAATGACACAGTGGTGTTATCAGTGACCTGCGCTCTTGACACAGGTGCTCCCCTGGGTCCTTGTGCTGCATGGGGACTGGGCCCTGTGCCTCCCGCCACAGGCACCGTGTGACTGTGTCAGCTTCCGGGTGCGATGAAATTATAGCAGTTCTGTAGAGCAAGTTTGCCTTGATTTTGTTTAAAATGACTTCTGCTCAGCACCCAAAAGATAAAATTGACTTATTTTTATAATATAAGCATACCTTTTTTGTACATTGTGTTCATTCTTAAATAGAGTTCAGTGTTGGCTTGTAGATATTAAAAAGAAATTATTGATTCAATAAATGTTTTCTTTCAATCCTGGTTTGGTTTTTCCTTTCAGTTTTTTACCTTTCTAGGATATTACCAGAATTCACTTAGAGCATCTTTTTAGCATTGTTACATTTTCGTTTAAGACTGTTATGCAGAAATAATTTATCACTTTTCTCTTTAAAAGGGGATTTAAATTTCTAAACTTGTAATCTTTGACTTTACCTTAGAATTTAACAAATGCCTGTTCAGAATGAACCTTAAATGTTTGGAAATAGGAATTTAAAAAAATAATTCTTTTCTCCGAATTTGCATTGCCTGTCAACATCACATGTGATTTTTAACAAAGGAATCAAATACCTGTTCAGTTTCTCATGCTGAAGCAGTTTGTCCTCACAGTATATGTAGGATTTAAAAGAATTCTGTTCCTCACCCACACTAGTCACAGTTCAAGGCTTAAATAGCTTCATGCAGCTATCAGCTACCTATCAGCTACCAAATAGCCTTTCCAACATCACTGCAAGTTTGCGCAGGTCAGCATTCGCTCCCAAAATAGTTTAGGACACTGGTTCCCTGCTGGGCAGTTTTGTTCCTCAGGGAATGGTTGGCAATTTCTGGAGGTATTTTTGATAGTCACAACTTGAGGAAGGGCGGGGAACAGGTTGCTGACACCTGATGGGGCTAGAAACCAGGGAGGCGGCTCAACACAGGCCAGCCCCCCAAAACAAAGATTTGTCCACCCTCACAGGGCCACAGCTGAGAAACCCTGGTTTAGAACAAAACATATCTATTGGGTTGTCGAAAAATTCATGACACATTTTTCCAACGAAAAACAGAAAAAAATACATCATGACTTTTCCTACAACCCAATATATACTCACCAAATACATCCCGTTAGGTGAAATGCTGAAACTAGGTCTGGTGGGCTTGGCTGTATCATGAAAATTGCTACACAATATTCTAAAACAGAAAAATCAATGAGAAAAGGATTAGCAAGGAGTAGTTCAAAAGTTTTGATAGGGCCAGCTGAGTGGCTCAGTTGCTTAAGAGTTGGCTTAAGAGCACAAGCTCTGAGCAACAGGGCCACCGGTTTGGATCCCACAAGGGCCAGTGACGCTGCATCCGAGCTGAGCTGTCACTGAGCTGCCAACAGGTAGCAGGATGGCTCAGCTGGTGTAACAAGATTGCCTGTTCTATGGTGGACTATATCCACCCGCAACTAAGACTGAACTAGGCACCTTGAGCTGAGCTGCCGCCTGGATGGCTCAGTGGATAGAGCATGTGCTCTTAACAACAAAGCTGCTGGTTTGACTCCCACATGGGATGGTAGCTATGCCCACCCGCAACTAAGATTGAACACAGCACCTTGAGCTTAGAGGCTACAAGCTGCCGACTGGAAGCCAGATGGCGACTGGCGCCCTCCACAACGAAGATTGAAGAACAACAACTTGGCTGGTAGCCTTCCCCAATTCCCCAATAAAGTCTTTAAAGAAAAAAAAAAGTTTTGATGATTTTTGTCCTCATCTTATGTCCAAAGACTCTAAAGGGAAATGGGGTTAAGATGAAGTTCCTTGACGCCCCCCCCCGCCCCCAAGAAGTTTTTTGTTAAAATACTGACAATCCGGTAGGATACCCCAGTTAAGAAAAGTACCTGAAGAAACTGATGTTTGTGTATCAGGAGCTGTATTTTGAGCATGTTTTCAAAGGACATGCATAAAATGGAGAAGGGAGGGCTCATTAGATGAGCACAAAAAGTAGGACAAATCTATAGTGTCAGAGATGGTCTGGAATTTGCTAAAACTTGTGAAAATGCAAAAATCTACACAATTGGTGTAGACAGGAGGAAATTATATCCTCATTAAAATATGCTTTTAGCAGATTGGAAAGAAAACAGTTGAAATTTAACCTTCAATTTATTATCTCCGTCCAGAGTGGTCCAGCAAGGGAACTTATTAAATCATTAAATGACTCATTTAATCTGCCTTTTTATATTTTGGCACCTTAACTTTTAGTTGTTTTTTTTCCCCAAGACTAGGTGTGTTTGTTTTTTGTTTTAAGTGCTTTCAACCAGATACATGAATCCCTTGGGCTCCTTTTGATCTTTACTCTTATCCTCTTAATCTCATCATCTTAGTAGTTTTTCTATCTGGCCTGCCTTTGATGCGTAGAAGAAAAAAAAAAAGTTTACTAGAAAAGCTACTTCCTGAATAAGAAGATCCAAACGTTTTGACCTGGGTCCTTAGAGCAGTTGCTGAAAGAGTGGTGACCTTGGTGTGTAAGAAAGGATGATTTCAGTCTCACTGGAAGCTAAGAGCAGGAGAGGAAAGACAATGTCTATTCTAACCCCCAATTTCCTCTTGTAAATCCAAGCTCCAGCGTTCGCTAGTGCTTTATAACTCCCTAAAATGCACGTGTTCAGTGGCTTCAGACAGGTAAAGGCGCTGAGAGCCTGCCTTGGGCCCAGAAAGCCTTCCCAGGCATGGGTGTTTGGTTTGGTTTTGCTCCTCTAAAGGATAGTAGCAAGTAAAGTAACTTCTTTAAAATCTTCAGAGCTTTACCTTTTTCGTACTATCTACACGGTCAACCCATGTGTACATTGCCTCTCCCATGTCTGGACTGACTGACTCTTTCACCCAGGCCCTAGCTCTGTGCCGCGAGCTCCCACAGGCCGCCCACCTCCCGGGGTACGGGGGCGCCCTTTGGGCCAGCCTGCTCGGGCAGTGTCAGAAAACACTTCACTTGCTGTTTCTGGGTTGCTTTAAAAAAAAATCAATATTTTACTAACCAGAAATAGCCCAAAGAGAAGGTAAAAATCATAACTGCGTTTGTCAGAGGCACACAGATTGAGAATTTCAAAATGGAGTGATTTCTGAGTTGAATTTTCCAGTTTCCTGTAATATCAATTTTGTCACATAAAATTTTTTCACAAAATGTCTGTAGATATTGCTTACCTCTGAGTTTTGCTGCTTGGAAAGCGTTTTAGTCCATTCCAGCTGTTCCAACAGAATACCCCAGATTGGGTACCTTATAAACAACAGAAAAAGATATTTCTCACAGTTTTGGAGGCTGAAGTCCAATTTCGGGGTGCCGGCATGGGGGGATGACGGCCCCCTTTTGGGTCATGGACCTCACCTACCTTCACATGGTAGAAGTGGCTGGATCATTCCGGAGCCTCGCACGAGGCACTAATCCCACTCATGACAGCTACACCTGAAGGCCTCGCCTGATACCATCACCTTCGGGATTAGGATTTCAGCAAGAATTCTGGGGGGTACTGAAACATTCAGCCTACAGATAGCAGAGAGGGACAGGAATGTGTGACGGGATTGTCCTGTACATGCAGCCACATCCCACTTCTGTACAATGGCACTCAGGCCATTAGCATCTCAGGGTCAGCTACTATTGCAACCCAGAAACTCACAAGCAGCCCTTTCTCGCTCTTTCCAGCCTGATATTCCTGAAGGAAACTAATGTGGCAGGTAAACACTAGGAAAATATCACTGGTAAGTCACATGAGGGATGAGGCGTTAAATGGAGAATTCTGGTGGTACAACCTGCAATTTAGAGGAATTTGCTAAAACTTGTGAAAAAGTTTCTTTTACAAAAAGAAAGCAAGGGAGATGCTTTGGAGACAAAAGAGGAATATCAAAAAGGAATGACCTCGGGGCTGGCCAAGTGGCGCGTTGGGCTAAGAGTTGGTTTGGGATGCCAGCTCTGAGCAGCAGGGCCCTGGTTTGGATCCCACATATGAGGGCCAGTGATGCTGCCCTCTACAGCTAAGATGCTGAACAACAGCTCGACCTGGAGAGCTGGGCTGTCATGAGTCACTGGCAATGGCGTAGGCTGCAGCCCCTGCTGCAGTAGGTTGCCATGGGCTACCGTGTGTAGCCAGCAGCCAGCGTGAGCGGCCAGCAGCCGCAGTGAGCGGCCGTCCAGAAGCTAGCGACTGATCTGCCTCTCCCAGGAAGAGCGCAATGATGGTGCCAACTTGGGCCAGTGAAGCAACGTCCTCCACAACTAGACTGAAGAACAAAAGGACAGCAACTTGTCTGTTCTCCTTCCCCCGATTCCCCAGCTCTGTTCCCATCCCCCCAATTCTCCAATAAAAATCTTTAAAAAAAAAAAGAAAAATCTCATTTGTATTTTGAAATTTCAAAAAATTGTTTTTGCGTTTATACTCTCACATTTCACAGTCCTCAGTTGATCTTTTGTTCTGAAGCTTTGGGAAATGACATTAGTTCTCCAATTATTCCTTCTAAGGATTACCAGATTTCTCAGCAGCACCTGTGAGATCTAGAATGTAATACAGCACTTGCCTCAAAGTTCTCAGAGAGATCATTTTGAACTAGTATTCTATGTACAGCTGAACTCTCAATGCAGTGAGATTGCAAAGTAAAGATGATCAGACTAGCAGGAAATCAAAACCTTTTCCACAAACCCTGCCTGAAACACTTCCTTGAGAGTATGCTTTGCAGGAACAAGTAGAACAAATCTAGTCATGTAATTAAGAGAAATCTCAGGATTTCTAGGTCTGAAGCAGACCTAAAAAGCAATCTATCCAAATCAGAACGAGACTGTAGGAAAATTGGTTACAAGAAGCATAATTAAGTGGATATCATTTAATAACTGGAAGATTCATGCATCCAAAATTTTTTATTGAGCACCATGTGCTCACAATTGGCACTGGGATACAAGAGTGAACAATTCCTCTGACCGCTAAGGAGCTTTCGCTCTAGTGGTGTGTGTGACCACTAGAGACAGGTGGTGACAGACAGGAAGCCAAATGAATAAATTGAGAAAAGATTTGAAAATGATGAGTGCTCTGGACAAACAGCTGGGGATATGGAAGAGGAACTGCAGTTTAAAATACCACGCTGAGCTGGTGATACTGAAACTGAGATCTTAGTAATTTGCTGACAAAACATGTTTTAAATGTCAACAAGCAAAAAGGAAAGACAATTCTAGATGTTCTGGTATAAACCAAAAACATGTCCAAAGATACAACATGGTATGAGTGACGGATGGATGTACCTCGAGCTTCTAGAACAGGGTCA